CACACTCACACAGACACACACACACACACACACACTCACACACACACACTGATCTTACTGTCTATATGAGGATTTATTACACACATTTATTCAGACATGTTACTTCAGTGACAGTATTAAAGGTCCCATGGCATGAAAATTTCACTTTATGAGGTTTTTTAACATTAATATGAGTTCCCCTAGCCTGCCTATGGTCCCCCAGTGGCTAGAAATGGCGATAGGTGTAAACCGAGCCCTGGGTATCCTGCTTTGCCTTTGAGAAAATGAAAGCTCAGATGGCCCAATCTGGAATCTTCCCTTTATGTCGTCATACGGGGAAAGGTTACCTCCCCTTTCTCTGCTTTGCCCGCCCAGAGAATTTGGCCCGCCCATGAGAAAATGAGCTACTACCGTGCGAGGCGAGCGCAATATTTTTTTTTCCTCGAGAGACATCATGGCTTGCAAACGAGCGAAGCATGGCAGTTGCTCAGTGTTTGGATGTACAAATGAACACCGAAGTATTTTTTTAGTTCCTTCATCCGAGCCTATGAAGAAACAGTGGGTTAATTTTATTTTCTCTGGTAATGCGCCGACACAACTTCCCAAAGTTTTGTATGTCTGCGCCAAACATTTCACCGACGACTGTTTCCTCAACTTGGGCCAATACAGAGCTGGCCTTGCTGAACGTCTGAAAATAAAGTCTGGATCAGTACCAACTCTCCTTGGCTCAGCTACAAACCTAAGTCAACTAAGTCAACTAACGCTATACAATTTTGTTGCTTTACTGTATATGGTTACCTAGCTTGTTATGTGGCTGTAATGGCTGTAACATTAGCTCTGCAGCTAACAGCCCAGTTACTGTCGCTAATGTAAAGGTAGATAGCATCAAGTATGTGTGTGAATACACACACTGTAACGCGAGTGTTGTACATTTTTTTGTTGTTTGGATAACCGTTCTGCTGTTGGTGTTATGGCGCACGCGATATCCACATTTCCAGATTGCAGAGCTTGATGTAATTGTAATAAGAAAGATTGTAAAAACTTTTAAGATATATGAAATATAAAATATGTAAACAAATAAATGATGTAATATCATTTAATCATTTCATAGATATAATTTTAAGTATTAATGTTATTCAGTAAACATGCTTATCTTCTATCTTATTACAACTTGCACCTGGAATATATACAAAGTAATAAAATGAGTACTAATTTGACCTTTGTCTCTACACAGGCCAGCACATCAAGTGCTTGCATTCAGCTGCCTCTCTCAAGGGATGTTGCCTGCCAGACAGACTACCTGGAAACACATACTGTAGGCACACAGCTATCCTTAAAGACTCTGCGGCCCCACTTTAGAAGTGAAGGTATGTACCTGCCACCTTCAGTACATTTACTTTTGATGTAGTTAGTACGTATTCTGCCATTTCTCTGACCAATTCTCACTATTAACTAGTTTATTAGCATGCATATTTACTAGCATATTGGCTGTTTATCAGTACTTATAAAGCACATATTAATGCCTTATTCTGCCTGATCATATTCTAGATCCCTTAATCCAACCCCATACCTGAACTTAACAACTACAACAACTACCTTACTATCAATAAGCAGCAAATTAGGAGTTCATTGAGGGAAAACTATGAACATTATTAACAAAAGCTCATTAGTGACAAAAGCTCAAACAGAATGACAGTAACAAGACAAGACAGATAACAAAAGGAATAAAAAATAGGAATTAACAATATACAAAAAATATTTTAAATACACAATATACAAAGAAGACAATAGATGGTATTTGTGTGTACAGGTGTGTTACATACACATGCATGCTAATAAGCAGCTAGTTAATAGTGAATAGAGAACAGGGTAAATATTACTAACAATATAAAAGATATTCTTTTTAATGACCAATTTCCACCCTCTTTCTGGGCTGCTGATCTGATTAATGTAAACGCTCTGCTCACATGTGAAATGAGCAACAGCGCTGTGCTCACTGAACTGTGCTTTTACAAACTGTACAGTTGTACCACCTATTAAGATCAGCCTGAAACCATCAGAGATATTGTTAAAAATGAACATCAGCCACTAGTTTTTAATGCTGGGTTCCTGGAGCAGCACAACGTTTGGCAAACCGTCCTGATATCTTAAGTTTAGCATTAGTTAAATGCCACCTGGGTGGCAAAGCTGCTGAATTGCAAATAGACATGACTGATAAAAATGTCTTGATGTCAGAAAGCTGAAGGACGAGACGTTTTTGCGGAATTATTTCCATAAATCAGCTTTTTTTTGGACTGGGGAGGAAGTTTGGAGCATGTTTTATGATATGACCTCTTGACACATAACTAACGGCTCGTATGTGTTTGTACCTTTGTGGTGGAGGGACGCTGGGTGAGCGTGAGCGTGTGCGGGTCACGTCCGATCGGGAACAGTGATTGGACGATATCACCTGCTCCGGGACAGACAGAGTGGAGCTCTGGAAATCCCTGCCATTGTGCCGGTAATCTGAGGAGGCAAGCACAGCACAACACATTTACATCAGCATTACATTCACTGAAAAATAGGAATAAAGTAGGACCTAATACAATGGCATTCAGACATTTTTAGGTGGTACTGTATGTGGTCTACCACACTGAACTTTATTTACAGTGATGCAAAACTAATGCGGTCAGTGTGAAATGGCGGCGAGGATTTTCCTTGTGCTGAGTCGGGAGACTAAAGTTCACAGTAATCTTCTCTCTGACAATATCCTTTAATTTGATTTGTTGATCAGCATGTGTGAACGCACACAAAGACTGGGACAAACTGTGTACAATCAGACATCGAAAAGATCATTGCAGACACAGCTGGCATTTATTCAGATCAGATTATGCATCCTCAAATCAGTGTGCGACATACTTTTACTCAGCAAGGATGCATTCAACTGATCTAAAGTGACATTAAAGACGTTTATGATGTTACAAAGGATTTCTATTTCAATTAAATGCTTAACTTTTTATTAATCAAAGATGCTTAAAATGCTTGTTTCCACAAAAATATGTATGTTTTCAACATTTATAATAATCATGTTTGTTGAGCAGCAAATCAGCATATCAGACTGATTTCTGAAGGATCATGTGACACTGAAGACTGGAGTAATGATGCTGAAAATTCAGCTTTGATCACAGCAATAAATTACATTTTAAATGATATTGACATAGAAAACTGTTATTTGGAATTGTAATAATATTTCACAATAGTACTGTTTCTATTGTACTTTTGATCAAATAGATGCAGCCTTGGTGAGCAGAAAAGTCTTCTTTCATAAACATAAAACATTTATTTGATATATAAAAGATTACTGAATTTAATCCAAAAGAAATGAATAAAATGCTTTCAAGGGCGCTCAAGTGTTCAGTTTTGTAAGTAGAGAGCGGCGCTAAAGCAGGGAGAGGTGACTTAGCTGTACCTGAGATAACACCAATCCCGTCTTCACCCACTCCAAAGAGAAAGGAAAACTTGAAATCGCATCATATGACCCCTTTAAGTGAAATGCAGCAATGAAAAATGTGTTGTACTTTTGAAAGCTTCTGAGTAAACAGTTTGAACTGAACTAAAAAGTAAAAGACCTGATATTGTGACATTGAATACAATGAATATAATGAAAATAAAATTAATCCACAGGATAAAAAAATTAAAAAAGGAGAGTTGCGAGATAAAAAAAAGCCAAATTGCGAGATAAAAAGACTTCCACAGGGATATTCTAATATTGACCTAAACAAACTGACAAATATCATTTAGAAATGCTTTTGATTTGAATAACATATTAATGAAAGTTGAAATTAACATTAAGATTAATAAATGGTTTAGAAGTATTTGTCATTGTTAGTTTATGTTATCGTAGTTAACTAATAATATTGTAAAGCGTTACAGTGAATAAATACTGTGCATTACTACTAGATATCGATGTTAACACTTCATCAAGAATTTTTTTAATTTGCAAACATGCTGTCAGTTCAAACGAAGCTTAAATAAATAAAATAATGACATACAAATACTATGAAACAATCAAACTAAAAATGCTTTCATACTACAGCTGTTACTGGAGACCTGAGGATATTTGACATGAAAACTATTTCCATGCTAACACACAGCTTGTGGAAGATGACGGATAATTTGCATGTGCGTCCTAATGCACTTGTCATTCCTGCTTCACATTGATAACACACTGTGTTCAGACTCATAACATACTGTGGTTCAGACTCAAATAATACAAAAGAGACCAGTGTGAGCAGAACCAAGCGGCGTGAGGTTTGCTATCATTTAGTCTGAAATCAAAACAGTGCAACACAGCAAACATCAACCACAGAAAGGTTTGAGAGAGGCTGGGAGAAGCGTGAACAGGCCACACACAGATCTGCTCAGGAAGGGCTATTGACTAGGTGGATTTTATATGTATTTGCAACAATGAAGATCAGGCCAAAATGGGCAGATAAGCTGTAAAATGAGGACTGGTGGCATGTAGCAGCAGTGATGAGTGTTATCTCCATGCAGGCTGTGAGGGACAGTGTGGTTTCTGAAGAGCATGAGGCAGAAGTGAGGGGAGAGCACACTTTGAGAGTGTGGAGGAGAGTCGAATCACACTGCTGGCCAATCACACGCTAGCTGGAGCAAGCAGGGCAAAGTTACCTGAGTTGTAAAAATACGGGCCCTTATCTGGAAATGTGTCAGTGGTGGATAGACAGTGATATTTTTTGAAGGAAACAAAACATGAAAACAAGAAACATATCAACAAAAACCAACATACATAAAATGTGATGTCCAGATTGATATTTTGATATCAGTTCTGGACATGAAAATAATACAGGAAATAAAGTGTCATATTATGATTTTTAAAATTCAATTTCAAAAAGGTGAGGTTCTTTCAATTTTAAACAGATAATATAGACTACCGTTCAAAAGTTTGAGGTCAGTTTTTTTTTCAAGGATCCATTAAATTGATCAAAAGTGACAGTAAAGACATTTATAATGTTGCAAAAGATTTCTAATTCAAATAAATGCTGTTCTTTTGAACTTTCTATTCATCAAAGAATCCTTAAAACATGTTTCCACAAACATTAAGAAGCAAAAAAAAAATTGTAACATTTATAATAATCAGAAATGTTTTTTTTTTGCAGCAAATCAGCATATTATACTGATTTCTGAAGGATCATGTGACACTGAAGACTGGAGTAATGATGCTGAAAATTCAGCTTTGATCACAGGAATAAATTACATTTTATAATACATTAAAATAGGAAACAGTTATTTGAAATTGTAATAATATTTCACAATATTACAATTTTTACTGTATTTTTGATTAAATAAATACAGCTTTGGTGAGCAGAAGTGACTTCTTTCAAAAACAAAAAAATCTGAATGCAAAAACTTTTGAATAGTATGTGTGTGTTTTGCATATTTACATGTAATACAGTGCAATTCATAAATTATTTTATAAATTGCACAAATGGTAAATCAAACACAAAATTATGATGAATGATTGACGTAAAAATCACACAGAAGTCGCTTTCCACATATAAATGTGGCCCTGAATTTGTTTGAAAACATGATTCAATGTGATTTTTGCTGTTCACACAGTGAGGCAGAAATCAGATTGAGATCACATTTACTATAAGTAAGTTATAAAAGGTACTAATATGTACACTTTAGGTACTAATATGTACTTTGAAAAGTACTAATATGTACCTTCAAGGTACTAATATGCACCATTTAGGGTAAATATGGTATAAAGATGCTTTTGTACCTTAGGGCCCCGCCCCAGTGACACCTTAGTACTTTTTTTTCAGAGAGTGTATGTTTACTGTAACAGTAGGTGTGTGTGTTGTACGTACTCTGCAGCCTGCGTGTGGGGCTCTCTCCGTGCAGGAGGCGTCTCTGCATGTAGGGCGAGGGGTTCGGCAGCGGCATGGAGGACAGGTCATGTGTTTGGAGCTTATACCAGTGAGGCTGATCGTCCACCAGCGCCGTCTCCAGCTCGATCAGAATCTACACACACACATCCGTTTATGACGACTTATGGTGTTTTATGAGCTTAAAGGCATCATCGGATGCCCATTTTCCACAAGTTGATATGATTCTTTAGGGTCTGAATGAAAAATCTGTAACATAGTTTGGTTAAAATTGCTCAATGGTAGTGTAAAAAACACCTTTTTTACCCTGTCAAAAACAGCTCTTTTCAGAGCGAGCCATTTTGTAGCATTTTCCTTTAAATGTTAATGAGCTCTGCTGACCCCGCCCCTCTCTTCCGAGCTGCTCTCAGAGAGACTGTTTACTTTAGCCGCATTCATCGTGAAACTTGCTAATTAGCACATTATAATAATATTTCTTGCATTAAAAAAAAAAGAAAAGAAAAGCTTCAAGTAAGCCTTTGCCAAGGAAGTCACATAACTGATTTTAAACTCAAACTTATATTCCACAGCTCTTTTGCATCACACTGAGTGAATATTGTGAGATGTTTGTGGCATTATTAGAGACGTGCAGCAGGACGGTGTTGGTCTCTCTCTCACCTCTCCCAGGAACTCGCTCTCCTCCTCTCGGACTCTGGCCTGGTCCCACAGCGTGATCTCCAGCATGCGCTCCCTGAACTCTCGTCTGTGCACCGGCGAGTACATGAACGTCTGGTTCCACTTGGGCTCCAGAGATTTCTTCACTGTTTTCGTTCTCCTCTTGCTTTTATCGCTGAGAAGAGCAGGTGAGTTCATCATTTTACAGCTGCTGATGTGACCGTACAGCCCCACAATAAACAATAAACAATAAACTAAAAATAGAGACAATAAACCAATCCAAGGACCCCCGATTTGAAACTTTGCATTAAAAGCAAATATTATTACACACAATTATTCATTCATTCATAGATTTTTTTCAGATATGAATTTTCATTTCTTACTTACAAATGGAATTTACATCTATTATTATTTTATTATCTGGGTTGCAGAATATTTCACATGCATTTCCCCCAAGTTAAAATCATTTCTGTAAAGGGAGGATTTTGAGGATTTCACTAGCTTTTGAATTCTTGGTTATTAAAGTTTGCTGTTTTTCAATGGGTTTACTATAAATTTGATGATTAAGTAATTGTGATTTTGCTCACTGTGGAGAGACGCACAAACATACCATATATCTGCACTTTACCTCTTGAAATTTCTGCTTTGAGGATTCTCCAACCTTTTATTGTTCTGTTTTAGAGTCTTCAATATTGTGTGCTTTGCTATTACCAATACAAAAGCAACCACTGATGTTATTACAATAATGCTGCTGCTGCTGCTGTTTTCAACCGCCCCAACCCCCCAAAATAACAATATTAATAAAAATTAGGGATGCACCGATACCGATACTGGTATTGGTTGCTATTACCAATACAAAAGCAACCACTGATGTTATTACAATAATGCTGCTGCTGCTGCTGTTTTCAACCACCCCAACCCCCCAAAATAACAATATTAATAAAAATTAGGGATGCACCAATACCGATACTGGTATCAGTTGCTACGAGTACTGGAAAAAGTGGTATCGGTGCATCCCTAATAAAAATAGAATCAATATATTTAGACACACTTTCAAATACAACTGAAATTATTTTATTTTAGAAAATGTTGCATTTTTAATTAGAATGACATAAAATTACATAAAAAATGTAACTGTCTGTTCTTTTGAAATTTCTATTCATTAAAGAATAGAAATATTAAAAAATATTATACTGATTTCTGAAGGATCATGTGACACTGAAGACTGGAGTAATGATGCTGAAAATTCAGCTTTGCATCACAGGAATTACATTTAAAATATATTCAAAAAGTTATTTTCAATTATAATAATATTTCACAATATTACTGTTTTATTGTATTTTCGATCAAATAAAACAATAAATTACAGCTTTGGTGAACATAAGAGAATACAAAGGATGCCATTAGAGATTATAATTTAAAATCCTTACAAAAACTGGATATATCTGACGTGCACGCACCTTCTGTCGGGGAGGAAGTAGATTTTGACGTATGGATTCCTGGGTCGCCCGTCTTCTCGTGAAGGCAGGTCTTTGGCGCCCAGGATAGTGACGATGAGCTGATGTCCTACTTTATCGTACCACAGCTTGACCTGCAGGAAGAGACAAGCTCTGTTAGGAGGTCTGTGAGGAGAGCTCACCCCAGAAGGTCCAGGGCAGACCTGCAGAGCCCCTTATGCAATGTGTGCAGCATCACATGCTTGGCAGATCTTTCCCAGCACCAGCACACACCAACTACATCAAGCTGACTAACTCCTCAGCCTCTAATCATCAGCTAAATTCACCACTGAAACAAACACCAAATTCAACTACTGCTAAGCACTGAATCACATAGTTTGATACTACAGTGTTTAAGGGGTCAGAGTTTATGTTGCACTTAATATTCCAGGTTGACATTGCTACAGACAATAATTTTGACTTGTATCTCAGTTTGTAATTTATTTATTTATTTTACAGTACTGCAATGACTATAGGGCAAGGCAACGTGCCAGGAAAAATGATAAAATATTAAAATATTACTATTTTGCAGTGTTGTTATTGTTAACTAAAACTAAAATAAAAACTATTAAAAACTGTTATAAAATAGAAAAGTGCAAAAAAATAAATAATTATATATATATATATATAAAATATAATATAATATTAAACTTAAAAACTTAATTGAATAAAAATTTAATGAAAATTTACATGTACATATATATATATATTTAAATAATTCAATCAGTGTTAATTATTTAAATGTGCCTATTTATTTATTAAATAAATAAGTTTGTTGTTTGTAATATTTTGACAAACTTTTAATAATATCCACAATTTATTCTGTAATGTAATTATATATTTGTTGTATTTTTTTCAAATATTTTTCACATACAAAATAGTATTTCTAAATCAATAAATTGAATAATACTAGCTTTAATTTCCGAATGACATTTTTATTTATTTCATGTTGAGCACTTCTTAAGTGTTCATTGATAGAAATGCTCAGTCTTCCCAGCATTTGCCCTGCCAGATCACCAGAGCTGAAAGAAACACACGTCTATAATGCACCTTTAGAGAGAACTTGCTATTCTAGATAAATACTGCAGTACTAATGCATGCAGCAAAGCAACAGAAAGAGCTCAATACAGACTAGAGCAATCCAGGTAGCTTCCATTGCAAAAACAGCAGGGGGAAGGCTTCAGTCCAAACAAATTGTACCGTTTGATTCTTCTACAGACGCATCGAGGTCTGTGCTTTTATTAGCTGACTGCATCAGGAAACAGTATAAAATCCATTTTCATCTAAAACTCCATTTTCAAAAACTATAGCAAGAGAGTTTATTATTGCAGTTAAATGGGAGATCCCTCATGTTGTTCCAACCCCATATTACTTTTTTCTCTGTGGAACAGAAATCAATTATTATTATTATTTATATATTTAAAAAATATTTTTTTTTAATTTTTTTTTATTAAAATGTCCCACCACCTACCACATTAAGACTGCAGGTTTTATGTTAATGATATTTTGCCAAGTTTTGCATTCCACATAAGAAAGAAAGTCATACAGGTTTGCCTAAACAGTCATTGGTACAATTTGTTTATTATCTGTGAGGTTTAGAGAAATGTTCTACATTGGAAAATGCAATATTATCTTGAAAGTGAGGTAATTAACATACTGTATCTCTTCATCGCAACACAGAACATAATATTTGATAGTACTGATCCAAACCGGGCTTCATTTGTACTAAAAATAATACATTCATTAATTTTCAATACTACAAATGTAGTAAAACATATGCAAACTATTTTCTATACAATATAATACAAATATAACGTTCCATGTTACATGACAAAGATGAAAAAAATGTCTCTCTAAAAAAAAAAATGTTTAAAATTTAAAGAGACTTAATTTAATAAACGATGCTAAAATCATGCCACATTTAAAAAGAGAATAAAATAAATGGTATATAATTCATTCAGAATATTTCAGCCTCAGCAAGATGGCCGTTCAATTAATTAAGCCAAATTCATACTGTAATAATGAAACAGCTCTTATGAATTGTGGTTATAAATCGCAAGGGCGATGACGTATAACTTTAGGGGAAAAAATTAAATCTGAACAAAAGAGCACAGGGGGAGAAACTTGGAATGCTGCCGTTTTCCTGCAGTGCATTTTCCAAATAACGCACAGAGAGAGAGAGAGAGAGAGAGAGAGAGAGTAATGAAGGATTGAGAAAGACTGCCAGAAATGAAAGAAAAGATTAAAAAGAGACTGAGCAGAGGAAGAGAGAGAAGTCTGACGATGTTACCTGGACCCTAGGGACAAAAGGCGTGGTTCTTCTACTAAGGCATGGACTCTGGATAAGCAAAATTAACAAGAAAACAAAAGCAATACAACTAAAGCAAAACTGCACAGAGGCACACAAATCAAAACAACCCATCTGAGAAGAGATTTAGCCTAACTGAGTGACGTAAGACAGCTTTCATTCAATTATCAGACTGTTTCATACTCAAACATTACCAGAATCGTACAGCATAAATAGCCTGTGAGTACTGAAATGTGTCAAAACATAAGTGTTATAACAACAGTGACACAACACGTTAGTATGTCATTTTAAAATTCTTTTAAAATAACAAATATATTTAAAATAAATCAAAATATTCAAACCTGCCACATTAAGACGCATCACTACCGGTTTTACAGTATGTCAATGTAGGGCTGTAAAATCGATTAATTGTGATTAATTGCATCCAAAATAAAAGTTTGTTTATTATTCTTACTATTATTATTACATATGTTTCTTAAATATATGCATGCATGTGTGTGCATTTATACATATAAATACAGTACACACACACACACATATATTATGTAAACAC